TACTTTGTTAATTATTCCACTTTAAATTGTGTACTCATTTTGTTCTCAGTTACCCGATATTAAATATGTATAAGATGTGTCATACTACCCGTTCCACAAACAGATAATCTTCGATATCCATAACAATACTTATTGATCGCAATATTGCTTTCTTTCATTTTACAAAACCGATGGATAATAAAGACAAGGAAGTTATAGATTCTTTTGAAGTATCGTATTCGTCAATTATTTATAATAATTACTTGACCTCGATCAGTGTCGAGTGCAGGCAGAATGCTAGTACGTATAACACATCCAACATGTCATCATTTATTCCATTCTGACTTTAGCTTATAGGTATTTGAAGTTTACATTGGTTTCTCATGATTTCACACCGACAACAAGGCTCCGTGGTCATTCAGACAAATATTATACGAATAGTCTGTATGGGTTGTCAACATTTGAGAATAACTGGGTCATTGGCTAGCTTATAGAAAGTCTAAGGGGGGGGGGGGGGTAACTGACCCTAAAGAAGATGTCAACGCCCATGAAATTAATTTAAGAACTCTCATTTCCGAAAAAACTGTTTGCATTGCCTGTTCAATATCCAACACTCTTTGTGTCTTCAATGATCACATCTATGTTTTTTTATAAATCCACAGACCCCCTTACGTTGAAGACTAGGGCGTTCTTGGAGACAGAGACTAAAGGTTTGATAATAAACTTGGCATTCCTGTTCATTTGGCAATAAGACGTTACAATTCCAAGATGGTGATGACAATAACGGTTTTTGGTCCATATACATGTAGTACAATCGAACTTGCTATACCTCTCAACAAATATAGTAATACTTATAGTGATCACTGATCCCACTCGTCACGAATATGTGATATCAATAAATATAACTATCTAGTAGACTCAGAAAAGGATAATTATTATATACTAAACATCAAAAAAACGTCAGTACGATTTCAAGATCAGAGAGGCACTTTAATCAAATCATTCTAGAAAATGAAACAAAGGAATTTTTTGTGAACAGTATGTTGACACATTATAGTGATTAATTTATCACAATTCCAAGTCATTTCGAGAAGGTTTAGAGTCTGTACACAGTCTATACATCAGTATCTGGTGTCCACCACGAGTGTCAATAACAGCAGCGCAGTGTCTGTACATGGAGTGGACCAGACGATTGATGAACGCCATTGGCACCTGGAACCACACTTCAGAAAAGCCTTGCGCAATCCATCGGCTGTGTTTGGTCTCGGTACGACGTTAATAAGTCTCTTCAGAATTTCATCCCAAAGATGTTCAATCGGGTTTAAGTCCGGACTAAGGGCTGGCCAGTGCATAACGTTGACACAGTTCTGGTGTAGAAAGTCCCGAGTAACTCTGGCGGTATGAGCACGGGCGTTGTCATGCTGGAAAACGTTGTTTCGATGACGCACTGCTGTTATGCCGCCTCCTCTCCATGGCTCAATGGTCAGATTAACGCTGGCCACGTCGACGCCATATTCTGGTCCTGTCATCTGCAGTTGGTACGCAATACCGACTCTCATCTGTGAACAGAACAGCTCTCCATTGCCTGTGTCGCATGTTCTGGTGTTGTTGGGCAAACTGTAGACGTTCACTTCGATGGCGAGGGGTGAGGATAGGTCCACGGTAAGATCTACGGCAATGGATGTTCTCTCTGGTGAGACGTCGGCGCACAGTATCGGTACTGATGGGTCTTCTGTGTGTTCCCACTGTCTGACGTGCTGTCTCAGATGCCTGTGTGAAGGGATTCTGCACGTGCTGTCGCACAACATGGCGGTCTTGTCGCCTTGTGGTAACCCTTGGTCTACCAGTTCGGGGACGATCATCCGTGGTTTTGGTGGCCCGAAAGCGTTGCTGAAGCCTGTAGATGATCCGAACACTGACCGGGAAGTGATTGGCAACAGCTTGGGCAGTGTGCCCAGCGTCAAGTCTTCTAAGCGCCTGGTTCCTCTGAGCTGTAGTGAGTCGTGGAATGCCGCTGACGTTGTAGTGTGAATGATTCAACCAGGGATGTGGGTGCATTTTATAGGGCTGCTCCCGGTGAACAGCACGTGCAGCATGAGTTACATGAAAATCATGGAGAACACATTACTATAGCAGAAGTCAGGTTGCGTTTTTAAGAACATTTCCTGGGTTCAATTATGTGTTTGGGAACGAGCCTTATTCCTCAGGTAAAGTTGGAGATGTGGTCACAAATATTCAGTAAAAACATTTGGCAAATTTTATGCAATGCGTCTATTCAGAGTTACATACCAACCTGACGTTTCATTTGCCGTTAGTCTCCCTGGAAACTATGGCACCATTCTATATCACTTAGATCGCCCTGAAGTATATCTACATGTACTTAAAGATGCATTATGTAAGATTGAAAAAAAAAAACGAGCTGACAGTTCTCGCTATTAACGGTTTAAAAGTATATAATGATAAATGTATTGAATATTTCGTTCAAAATAGTTTATTCGTATCGAATAATGCATTTAATAACACAGTCATGGGGCTGGCGGAATAGTTCTAAGGAGTACACACTTTTGTCAACAATGTTGCATGGCCTGGATGCCGTTCAGGAAGAAATTTTCTTCAGCCACCCTAAAAAATATCGATCACAGCTGACATGGCGACATCATTACTAGGACAATGATGAACGGATAGTTCCTTTTTCATTTATTGAAACATATCTGATCATAGTTACATCGCAAAGGCCCCATCTGCCACGCTTAAATTTCGCAGCACACTTCTTTATTGTGAAAAAGAAGGGGTGCCTTCCCCTAACGTGTTGGGGTTAGTTTTTTCGGTTGCAGGTACTTGATGACTGCCATATAACCAGTTTTGTCCATTTTTAATGATTTCAATGGGTAGGTTCACCTGATGGTCTAGTACGAAGACAATAGTAACACCACAGTTGGAGTCTTATGTGAATGATTCATTCAATGATTGTACTTATTGGTGGCAAAAGCTTATTTCTATCCCTTTCAGACTTAGAACTTTTCAGCCAGCCCTTGTAAATAATGCTTAATATAAAATTTGAAGCCAGGAAAAAAAAACCTACAACGGGTAAATTTAGGTCTTACGTAATGTATCTTTAAATGAATTAACAGTTGTGCGCTTCACTTTGGTTACCATTACCAACCGGTACCGCGTAAGTTTTACCGCAGGAACACAGCTTTAATAATAATAATGTATATTGATGCATTGTTAATCATTATTTTTAATCAATGTGTAAGTCAATTGTTGGATCATTACCTAGCTATGGAATGTATTCAGTCGATATTTAAGCATTACTATAGTAATTCTAGTCCTTTTTAATTCATTAATTATTCAAATGTCTTTATTTACATCTAGCGCGCAGAAGCAAGAAATGCCCCAAACACACATTAACTGTTTCAAACAAACTCGTATAAAATTATCAGTTTCTAATTGGGTTCAGTCGCTGTTGAATATGTTCGTTTTTTCCGTATTGGTTCTTGCTATCTATGTGCAGGGTAAGTATAGACAAAGATATAATTTATAAATTATTTACAGGGTAAGTATGATTTTGGTTGTAACTTTAGGATTAAAGGTATAAATTATACACAGGGTAAATATATATTATATTGTAATAGCGGGATTAAAGATATGATTTATATGCAGGGTAGTATGGTATATTGTAATTTTAGGATTAAAGACATAATGTAAATACAGGGCAAGTATGTATTATATTGTAATAGCCGGATTAAAGATATACAGGTTAAGTATATATTATATTGTAATTTTAGGATTAATGACATAATGTAAATACAGGGAAAGTATGTATTATATTGTAATAGCAGGATTAAAGATGATTTATATATTTGATAAGCATATAAAGATATATTTTATATGCGTGTAAGTATGAATTTAATTGTAATAGAAGGATTAACTACATGACGCTGGATGGCATGTATGTTATTTTAATGAAAGAATTAAAGATATAATTTATATGCGGGGTAATAGTATGTATTTAATTGTAATAGAAGGATTAAATATATAATTTGTATGTGGAGTAATTATGTATTATGGACTAAATCTCTCTATCATCGATTGTTATTTTGTTGTACTTGTATTTAAATACAGGGGAGATGGGGGCCCCTTTTCTGCAAAGTAGCCTTCCGCTCCTTCATGCTTCACCATTAAATAAGTGCGAAGGTGAAGCTAAGACGCCGCGGCGACAATTGGTCCTAATTGCACTCCGTCGCAGATTCGCGACGTTCTGTCTTCTCGCCTTCGCGCAGAAACTCATAGCGAAGTGAAGGTGCGACGGAGCGAGATTAAAACCATTTGTCGCGGCTTCTTGGCTTCGGTTCGCATTTAGTTAACAGGAACGCGAGCAGGATGGAAGGGTTACTTATCGGCTTCCGATAACTGTAGTTTTATGAGGCGTGGACGTTTTAGGTTCCAGTGCAGCTTTTAGCGACTTGTAAAAATAGATTGTCTCGGTAATGCACTAATGTCGCTTATTTAAATATTAAAACTTATCACTGTAACCATTATGTCGTCACTCTGTCCGTCGGTTCGCGGGTCCATACGTCAACAATTGGCTCGATAGAGGCTACTGATTTTGGTGTATTCTTTTCAAATTTGGTGTACAGCATTGTGGTTATGAGAGGATGAACCCTTTCGATATTAAGTTCTGCGACTTTAGGTGTGCCTTTCGGATAAGTTCAACTGGTGTGGGTGTATTTCCACGTTTTGTGTAGATATCTTAATTCTAGTAAGATTGAGTTTCTCTATATTCCAAATATACAAAATATCGCATACTCGAGGAGATTGGTGACCGGTTAGCGAAATCCTCAGATGTCTGTCCTGTGGGTGCCCCATGAGCGTCTCTGCTTTCCATATATATATACCAAATTTGAAATACTTTTACCGGACATGACTACCCTATAAATAATTTCGTGGGAAAGTAAATTTAATACAATATAACCCCCTTGATTTACTAATTCAATTAATTACCAAAAACGTGTTTTCTATCGGGAAGCTGTGAAATATTGCTGTATATATACATGTTGTTTCTTAAAAGGTTTACGTGCGTTGTCCCCGCCATCGTGTTTACAAGGTACTATCCACGATGCTGTCAATGGTAAATGCTACATCATCAGAAATAAAAATGTACAGAGAGATGTAGCCGAGAGAAATTGTGAAAACATGGGTTCTATTCTAGCTATTGTAAACAGTGAATCAGAACAGACTTTCTTGAATACAAACACAAAGTAAGTTTCATTTTACAAATATATGTAAGAGAAGTCGTATAACAACTCTAATGTTTACGACATTGTTCATTTAAGATTAAGGATGCATTATGTAATATTAAGGAAAGAGCTCGCCCTTCTTGCTATGATAGTTCAAAATTGAATATACATGTATTGAAAATGTCCATCAAATTATGTAGTCACGGGTGGCAAATACCATTGCTACGATAATGTGTGTGTAGGTGTGTGTGTGTGGGGGTGTGTGTGTGAGCGTGTCTATGTGTCGACTACAGGCAACAATTCTTAACTGATCCCTATTGTTGTTGGTGCATGGCCGAGCCCCAGGGGCAGAGCCACGCACACGTCTCATTTCTTAACGGATTCACTTGAAACTTTGCACACTTATGCATTCGACCTTGGCGCAGAGTCACGCCCATTTTTTTGTGTGTCTCCTACAGGCCGCTATTCTTAATTGACCGTCTTGAAGACTTTCCATACTTATTCTTTATACTCTAAGGATGACATCTATTATTATTGATGCATGCCCGATCCCCTGGGATATTTGTGTGAGTCTGTGTATCGCCTACAGACCACAATTCTTAAAAGATCCTTTTGAAACTTTGCATACTTATTCCTTATACCCTATGTATGATCCCTATTGTGGTGAATGCCCGACCCCAGGGGCAGAGCCACGCCCATTGTTTTCTTTGTGTCGCCTACAGGCTGGAATTATTAAAGGATCATCTTGAAAACCTTTCATACTTATTCCTTATACCCTAGAGATAACCTCTTTTATTTTTGGTTCATGCCCGACCCTGTAAATACTCTACAGGTTGCAATTATGAACAGATTGTGTTCAAATTCAGCATAACAATCGCTTCAATAACAGGGTTGTACTTATTTATATTGTTCCATCTCCAACACCCAGGGTTAGAGCCACACCCAATATTTGTGTTTATTGTCTACAGACAGCAATTCTGAATGAATCTTCTTGGAACTTGGCATGTTTATTTCTTATACCGTAAAGACAGCAACTATTTATTTTGGTGCATGCCCCGACACCCTGCGGTGGGGGAGGGGTGTTACACCCACCCACTTTTTGTTAATAATTAGGTCTGTAAATTTTGGCAAAACAAACCAAAATGGTAATCGTGTTTTAATCCATTAAAAATCGCGAACATCGCGAATAAGTATTTTGTTAAAATGAATCAATATTTCGCTAAAACGAATTAATATTTCGCTAAAACGAATTAATATTTCGCTAAAACGAATTAATATTTCGCTAAAACGAATTAATATTTTGCTAAAACGAATTAAGTTTTCGTTAATACGAGTTAATATTCGTTAAAACGAGTTAATATTTCGTTAAAACGAATTAACATTTCGTTAAAACGAGTTAATATTTCGTTAAAGCCAATTAATATTTCCTTATCACGAATTAATTATTTCGTTTAAACGAATTTATTATTTAGTTAAAACGAAACAACTAATTCGTTTAAACGCGTTAATATTTCGTTTAAACGCATTCATACCGCGACGTGTACGCGTACGGGTGGTCATCAGATCCATTCAATTCATTTGATATTTGTTGTATATTTCTGGCAATGTCTTTGTGGTTTGCCCTGTTTACAGGTTTTTCTTATCAGCTTTGTTTGCGTGTAGTGCGTTCCTCTTACACTTATTACATTTTTATTCACTGTTCTAGCCGGAAAGGGGATCCCGGTAGCACCGTAATAAGCCACCTATGATCTTCGTTGCAATTTCTTTGATGGTCCCCTTTTTAAACCAATTAAATCTAAGCTGGGATATTATCTGCCCTTGTTATTTTAATTTCTTTAGTAAAATATTCAATTTTAGCATGGACAAATTGATATCTTCCGAAAAAATGCAAATAACTTTGATATATCTTTCTGGATTGGGTAAAATATTGTATCTGAGTAGGTCTATGTCATATAAATGTACTACTACTGTTAATATTGTATATTACTAGTTCGTGAAATACTAATAAACTACTATAGTCAAGATTGTATATTATTAACTTGGTGAAATACTAATAAACTACTATAGTCAAGATTGTATATTATTAGTTTGGCGAAATACTAATAAACTACTATAGTCAAGATCGTATATTATTAACTTGGTGAAATACTAATAAACTAATATAGCCAATATTGTTTGTAATAAGTTGGTGAAATACTAATAAACTGCTATAGTCAATATTCTATAATAACCTACTATGGTCAAGATTGTGTATAGCTCGGTGAAATACTAGTAAACTAATATACGTCGTAGTCAACATTGTATGTCAATAGTTTGGGGGGGGGGAGAGAGTTGGATGGCTGAATGATTAGCGCGTGTGCGCTGTATCATAAGGTTTGCCATTGAGTTAACTGGCGTGGTTTCGATTCCCCCGGTTGTATGTGACAAAGAGTCGGGTCGCCTGTCCATCTTCGTGGGTTTTCTCCGGGTCCTCCGGTTTCGTCTCATGACTAAAGATCCCTACGCGCAAGCGAATTATTAAAATAAAGGTGAACCATATGTTAGTCACGAAATGACCAAGTTTGTGTCGAGTGGACGTTAAACCTCCTCTCTCTCTCTATCTCTCACTCTCTCTCTCTCTCTCTCTCTCTCTATCTCTCTCTCTCTCACATACCCCCGTACATTATATTACAAAGATCGCGTTTATCACGTTAAACCTCATTTTATTATATTCAATATTGTATATTAATAGGTCGGTGAAATACTGGATTGGTATTAATGATCAGGAAACCTCACGTGTGTTTATGAATCCCGATGGCAGTGCTGCTACATATTTTTATTGGTACTCAACCAAAAAACAACCGAATGATGATATAAATTTAAACGATCAACCTTGTGTCCATATGACAGAAGATAAATTGTGGCACGATGATGAGTGTTACAACAGAGAGAACTATATCTGTCAGCTTTATCAAACACGTCAGTGTGCATTTTTGTTCATTAAATGAAATGTTAACGGGGTTTTACGTCCTACTTTTCTGCATCGACTCGACTAATGAAGACGGGCTTACGCCATACAATGTGCTATGAGGTAAATTTGCATCGACTTTTTGTTAAGTGCCATTGCCATTATAAACGAGGTCACGATTGACAGTCATTTTAACGTTAACCGATTACATGACACGGATGGTTTAATCCATACAATATCTCAGCCATCCGATGATCTAAAGAGTTGATAATAATTGATATAACATTAAATTTTGCAGTCCGAAAAAGACCTGCATTAGACAGATTTATCTTGCATAATGCATCTTAAATAAAACTGTCAGGGTATGGCTTACCATTTGTAAGACTGTGTCATTCCTAATGCAAGGTTGTTGCTAATTTGGATTTAATACCAGTATTGATTGTCAATTAAGTACTGCTACATGGGGTACTGTCTCTGGTTCTTTCGAGCCGAGTAGCAGGAGAAGAGGCTTACCATGTGGTAAGGAACAGTGTCTAGTCGTTCGGATGATACGAAAACCGAAGCCTCATCTACACGTTGGCCCTATTCTTACAGAAAAGTAGGACGTTCAACTCCTTTTCATTTCTGCTATACACCTTAAACGGGGGTCCCCTAGATCTTGAGGCCCCAGGTTCCATGCTGCCAAGCTATATAGCTAAATCGTGCAATGGTAATAGACCTATTTACCACAGCACAATATTAACATGTAAATAAACTTTTAGAAATTAATCCCGGTTTGGTGTGTAAATCTAAACATATGTTTCTTCGTTTAGATTGATTACATTGTTTTGATATTTTCTTTTGGGGCTGAATTAACATCTGATGTCACTTCTTATTCGAGGAGTTCATCTAGACTTCATAGAATTTCTCTATCAGCTTTGATATTTGCATTAGGACTGAATAAACATGTGATGCCACTCCCCACTCTAGGAGTTCATTTAGTCAATATACTTTTATTGAACATATACTATTCAAAAAAAGTAGGGGATATTTGATTTTGGGGGCATAATACTAAAATATGCAAATGACTACGAAAAAAGTCACTATAAAACCTAACAGAAGAAACATTTCCAGTTACATGTGACGCCCAAACGCACCAATAGCTACCGCATGGAATGCAGGTGATGCTTGGGATCATCATGGGGGTCCAACCCAAGATTTGCACGACTCTGACTTTGAATGTTACAGTCATTGTGGCATTGAATTCCAGGGTGGAAACATCAGTTTAATTGTTTTAGTGACCAGAAAACAAATTTTGATATGCGTCGGCTTACCCAAAATGAAAGGTTACGTGCCCTTGGCATGCTACAGATCGGCACAACACAGGCGGTTGTGGCGCGGACGATGAATGTTTCTCAGTCTGTCATAACCAGGCTATGGTCCAGATACCGTGATACACAATCTGTACAGGACAGACCACGCTCAGGTCGACCAAGGGCGACAACTCAAGCCCAGGATCGATTTATCCGTACCTTGGCCTTGAGAAATCGTGTCATCACAGCAAATCAGATCAGCGCTCGTCTTCAAACAGACACTGGTGTGAGAGTGAGTGGCCAGACGATTCGGAATCGACTGCATAGGGGTCACCTTCGCGCCCGACGTCCTCGCGTGATCCCTTGTTTGAGAGATCATCACATTCAGGCAAGACGTCGTTGGTGTAGGGATCGTCAACACTGGGATAATCGACGCTGGAGCAATGTGATGTTTTCAGATGAGTCAAGGTTCACTGTTGATTTTTTGGACAGACGTAGGAGGGTGTGGCGTCGTCGAAACGAGCGCTTCCAAGACGTTAACATCATCAGACATGATCGATTTGGGGGTGGTTCTGTTATGGTGTGGGGAGGCATCACTGTTGCTGGAAGAACGGCTTTACATGTTGTTGCAGGGCGTGTTACAGGCCAGTACTACCGGGACAACATCTTGGCAGTCCATGTTGTGCCGTTCGCACGACGTCATGGCCGCCGTTTCATCTTCCAGGATGACAACGCAAGATGTCACAGGGCCAGGATCGTTACAGGTTACCTCCAACAACAGAACATCACCACATTACCTTGGCCAGCACTGAGTCCCGACCTCTCCCCCATCGAGCATGTCTGGGACATGCATGGACAGAGGTTACGTCAACGTCAACAACGTCCTGCCAATGTCCAAGAACTTGCTGCTGCGTTGCAACAGGAATATGACAATCTGGACCAAAATGACCTTAGACGTCTCATTAGGAGTATGCCACGTCGGATCAATGCTTGTTTGGCAAACAGAGGAGGATTTACCCGTTACTGACTTGGTTGTGATGCTGTGGTAACTTTGCTGTTTGACCCCGGGTATCATTTTACCCTTATAATGGTCAGTCTGTGCCTTACTTAGTCTAACGATCATTTGGAATAAATCGATGAATGTGAACTTCATTTCATTTTGTCATTTGTTTCTTCGTCAGTTTCATTAGGTGACTTTAATAACACTTAAAAATCAAATATCCCCTACTTTTTTTGAATAGTATATATATACATGTATATTTATTTAATGATGTGTGTTTCTGTTCCAGTTCCAGTAGTACAAGTAACCTTTGCTCGTCGACCCAATCAACTATTCAATGATGGTGAACTTTACGAGGTGTATACGGCTCGAAATCGAATAACCTGTCAAATTGAATGTGTAAAGTATCAAACATGTATTGGTTACGTGTATAATACCTTACACAAATATGACAATTGCCAGTTAATAACACCTTTATTGAATGCGGACCTCTCATTGGTAGATCCAGGCAACCAGGTTTTTGAAGCTGTTGAAAGATGATAAGGAATGTAATATCGGTTAGTGAACGTCATACAGGATGACGAATGACACATAGAATATGTAAAATGGGAAATTGTTACAGTTTTGAAATTAAATCAGAATAAAATAAAATATACCCATGTTTATGGTTTCTCGACCAACCGATCTTACGTTAGTTACTCATTTCTTCACAGAAGCAAGTCTTATATCACTGCTAATCTGATACCATTGACTTATGAAACTGGGTCTTTTAGTAATGACAATTCTTGTCATTATTTAAATCATATAAGTGGCCATGATTATAAACTAATGATTAGTATGTATAGAAAGTGGTTAAGAATTATACAGTTGTCATTAATTGGCAGGTGTGTATAACTAGCTGTAAAAGATGTCACTACTAGTGTAAAAGCGTGACTAATTATAACACCCATCAATATTGAATACACAAATTTGGACAATAGTGGTGTATATCATTCAAACATCTTAGTGACAAAACACTTACTAAATGACTACTGCCTTATTACTAACAATTTTAACCGATACATACACATTATGTATATAAAGTGACGATTTTGATCTGTTAGTGTATTTATAAAAGTTATGGTCTCACTAAACTCCGTTTCTTTTTCAAACTTCACATGCCAGCTAACCTTGTTACAAAGAACAGCGCATCATAATCGTGTATTACTGTAATATAATAATATACTCTATCAGTAATGGAGCTTATTGTAAAAATGTGTGGCCGAATGATTAACGTGTGCGCCTTGTATCATAAGGCCTGACATTGAGTCAAGTGGCGCGGTTTCGATTCCCCGTTTGTACGTGACAAGGAGATGGGACGCGAATTATTGAAATAAATGCGATTTATTGAAATAAATGCGATTTATTGAAATAAATGCGATTTATTGAAATAAATGCGATTTATTGAAATAAAATTGTACTAACAATGTACTTGTACTAACAATTGTTTATTTTAAAAAAACATTACTTGGCACACCTCCAGCCCCAGCTAGATTCCGTGCCCCTCTCATGGGAACTGGGTCGCCATTTTCTGTTACTTTAATCTATCCGTTTTCTTAGTGCGCCCTTTCACATCACGTGTTCAATGGCGCTGTACAAAGTGACAATATAATCATAAAATAGACAATTTAAAAAAATAAAGAAAAATTATGGACATATTAAATGCTGTATACACACAATCAGTTAAAAGAATATAAAGTTGTAAAGCATCGTTAAAGGGACAATAACACTCTTGCTGGCTTGAAAGCTCCAGAAAATAAATAATATCTCTATCTAAGTACTAGATGTTTAAGTGTCCTACCTGTTGTGTAAATTATCCATTACATCCTATTTTACTTGTCCAGAGGGTTCGAAAATATTTTTAAATCGAAGTTTCATTTGAAAAGGTTTACGTTAGACGATTCAAACCATTATGTTGAATTTTTCCAAATTTTTAAATAAGGTGTGTTAAGATGAAATTTGTATCATCAATTAATTGAAATATTCTAAAATAGTACAATTTGTTGACCAGAATAAAGATTGGGACACATTATTCAGTTACAACAAGAGTGGTATTGCGCCTTTAAGCTAAAGGTAGATTATTCCATAAAACCAGGTGCTTGGAAACTAAAAGATCGCTGATCATAAGAGAGTAGTTGAACATTTGTGAGCTTTATAAATAGTTTATCCGATGTACGTAATGTTCGAAATGAAATGGGGTTTAACGTCCTACTGTTTTGCACCGAACTGGGCTAATGAAGACGGGCATACGCCATACAGTGTGCTATGAGGGAAATTTTGCCCGGACAGCGGCACTACGGTCTACTCTTCATATCGAATTCCAACTGTCAATGGATCTTTTACGTGCACGCCAATGTGTACTCGGGAATGTAGTAGTTCGACCAGCCGTATAAAGTTAAATTATATAAAACAGGAGTTGTATGATCACATTTCTTATTAATTCCATAATATTCCATATGCAAGCTATTTGCATCTTTCTTTGTATATTGCAGAGTGTATACTTGTGATAATTATCCTTTTTTAATAGATCCACCTGCTAAAACCCCAACAGGCGTTTCCATCATTGCTTAAGGAAACCCTGCTACATTTGTATACTCTTCAAAAAAAAAAAAGAAACGCATAGTGACATTTCGTCGTCGGTATACACTCGCTCTACCATTGCCTCGTTGCAACAGGAACCGCGACTCTTCGCTGAACCAAACTGTTCTCCAGCGTTGCTGTGGCCATACCCTGTATGCCTGAACCCATTGAAGTCGGATTTGACGGTGTCGGAGTATTTCAAATTAACGGGACGTCTGGCTCGTAATCCGGTTCCACGTAGCCGTCTGTGGGCTGTCTAGTCTGAGATCCTACTCCGTCCAGGAATTGCTGCTGCGGTAGAGGTCGCTGTTTTTCATTTTTTCGATTTGTAATATTTATATACCTAAAATAATGTGATATGTGTTTGAAATTTTATTTAAAGATGCATTATGTAAGAGCCAAATCTACCTATTTTTTTTTATTATTATTTTGGCTTCAAATGATATATGAAATATTATTTAGACCGTAATTATATTTACACGACATGCGACCATAGGAACTTGCAATGTAAACAGATTACGATAGATAGATATTTAATGATTTAATTTAGAAATGGAGCAACGTGACTGAGCCAATATTAACAGGTAACAATAATAGACAATCTAAGCCAGAATTTCAAACGGTGATAACATCGCTCAGATTAAAGGAATTTGAATGAAATTTTCAATGTATTAATTTTGAATTATCTATTTGGGAACAATTATAGCACGAATGGTCAGCTCTTTATCTAAATCTTACATAATGCATCTTTAATAGTCTATGATATTTGTTTTTATTTATGTATATAAAATATTTTGTGATTACAATTAGCTCGTCACTGTATGTTTGACCAGGTTGGTGCTGCCGTGGCATTTTACATCATTTCGTCCATTCTTACTCTTTTGTTGTTGGCAATCGAGAAAAATATAAAACGCATATAACACATACACACGTGGTAACAATATTGCCCTAGGTTCTCACACTTAAAATGAAAACTGTAGGCGTGTCCCTGTCAAATTTCGTGTTTGTGTCCTGTTTGTTTAATAAAATGGTGAATTTAAAAATAAAAATACAATCTGTTACACAAATATTCTATCAAACAGCTGCAAAACAAACAAGAAACCTGTGATGGTTTTTTTTTTCATAATTAAAACAGCAATTATTTAGCAAGTTGTGATCTATATAAGATCATCTGAAATCGTCCATTTTACAGCAGTTACCTTATCGTACAAAGAGGGAAGAAGACATCCACAAGGTGAGTCAGTATTATAATATATTCCGTATTCAGATTTATTTATTATGCCATACACCATAGTACTTTTTGTTTTTGTCCTCCGCCTTTCGAAGAAAGCAGGGGACTATTAAATTGTGTTCGTCCGTCTGTCTCTCTGTATTTCTGTCCGTCCGTCCGTCCGTCCGTCACACTTTTTGGGACACAATAACTCTCCTAATTGAGCTAGAATGTTCAGTCTTGGCATAGGTGTTTATTAGGTGAATGCCTTGAATGAGTTCGAAGATGAGAATTTTCTGCTTCGGGTAAGCAGAGATAAGCAATTTGATTGGTTGATGCTTTGGGACACGATAACTTTAGTCCTAATTAAGTGAGAGTGAGGACACTTGGTATATGGTTTTATCGCATCAATACCTTGACTAAGTTTGATAATAAGAACTTTCTGCGCTGGGTAAGCAGACCGAGAAACAATTTGGTTGGTCGAGACTTTGGAATACAATAACTCTCCTTCTAATTGAGGTAGAATGTTCAAACTTGGTGTAGGCGTTCATTAGGTGAATGCCTTGGTGGAGTTCGATGATAAATATTGTCTGCTTACTGTAAGCATAGATAAGCAATCTAATTGGTTTATGCTTTGGGATTGATGAAACTCCGAGTATAGATTCATTATATCATTACCATGACTAAGTTCGATGATGGGGATTTTCTGCTTAGGCTAAGGAATAATAAGCAATTTGATTCGCCAAGACTTTGGAACACAACAACTCTGCTTTTAATTGAGGTAAATGTTTAAACTTGATGTAGATGTTCATTAGGTGGATGTCTTGACTAAGTTCAATGATTAACAGAGCTAAGCAGTTTCATTGACCGATGCTTTGAGACAAGATAACTTGATTCTATCTGATAGAGTGTGGTGAAACTTAGTGTATAGTTGATAATCAGTTTGATTTCTTGATACTTTTGTAAAAAATAAATGTGCGATTAATTAATATGTGTCATCTATTTATTTTGGGATTTCGGCGGGGGACATCAGCCTCACTATTGGCTTGTATTACAAATATTGCCCTGTATGCAAATCGGCTCTCGATCTAAGACTTGCGCGTGGCAAGGAGTAGGGTAGCATGCCTAACCCCGTGGGTTTTCTCCGGGTCTGCCGGTTTCCCCCTTCTGCTAAAGACCGTTATGCGCAAACGCATTATTAAAATAAAATTGAACCATATGTAGTCCGAAATAACCTAGTTTGTATCGAGTGGATGTTCATCTCTATGTCCACCTTAAACATATTACGCGAAAAACGACTGGGAACGCAAAACACTGTGTTCCGAATGGTAACCCTTCCAATAATTCACTCGAGTGTATAGGGTGGAGACTACTGTTCTCGTCGCAGGTTTTGTGACAATAATGCCAGTCCTCTTGCAGGTGGTGTCGGATAAAACAAGAGTCGCGGTAGCTCGGTGAGTAAGGCGCTTGCTCGATCCCTGTGTTGGCGGGGACATTTCCTAGGGATGTTCGGGCGTGACTTCTCCTTGTCAGTCGTGCCTAAAGAAAATAAGAGTAGACCGCTGTACGTAAACTAAATAAGGATAGGCCGCTGCCTGGGCAAATTATCCCTCATAGCACACCGCATAGCGTATTCCTTTCTTCATTAGCCAATTCGGAGCAACAGTAGGAAGTTAAACATCGTTCAATTGCTTTATTAGCCCAGTAGGGCGCTAAAATCCTTCGCATACCGTTTGGCTTTTCAAAATAACATATTAAAAAATGTACTATTAGT